GCTCTACAGTAAAGCGAAAGGGGTATACGCTTAGGAGTAAATAAGTGGTCCCAAGTGGATGAAAGAGGCTATCTCTTTTCAATTGTGGGATCTGATGGATGGAAAACATGCTGCATCGAAGAGGGCAGAAGCAAAGAGAACTGGAAAATGGGAGCAATAGGTGATTAGAGTGGACGTTGAAGAGCAAAGATTGCCGGTTAACTGAGAGCTTGCTTCATAGGCATGACGTAAAGAAGAAAATAGACGAATGGGACAATTTGAAGAGGCCTGCCAACAGTTGGTCTGTACATGAAGCTGAATAGTCGAGACATGAAAGGTTTGCGGAGAGCACTGCTGCTTTCTTTGACCAGCAAGTGTGAAGGTCGCCTGGTTATTCGGCTTGTCAGAAGGAGAGGATCTTCTGATTTAGAAATCAGCTGAAAAAACGAGGCAATATGGACAGGTTGCTTGGGTTTTGACATCTTGATGAGCATTCACAAGAGTATGCTCAGGAGGAAGGGTGGGGAGAATGGGAAAACGGATAGCAAACACACTCATGTCACCTTCTAGTTTACATCAACGTGTCAGTCTCGTTTTGGTCATTTTCAGACGCACCAACCTGTCACCGCTTCCACACGCAAAGGGGCATGGTTCTGGTTGTAGGGAATCGCAGAGGAGACAAAGAGGCGAGTGGTGGCGTGTTAGCCAGCGCCTCGAAGATGTACACCGCATTGGGGGAGGACGAAAGCGCATCGACACGATGAGTCCAAGTGGTTTGGTGGAACGGAAAAGAGGTTGGATGATGATGATGAGGTTTAGGTAACGCAATGGGAAATATGGCCGAAAAACAAAAGAATGTTATGCTATCGTAATTTGAAGCATATCTTGACCCCAAGAAATACAAGATACCAAGCTGATGCACACATATCCTAAAAAGTAATGGAAACAGGCAGAAATGGGTGAAACATTCACACACTAGGCACACATGTGCAAACAGATACACGAAACTGTTGATGATGTTGCACGATCGTATCCAAAGATTGTTCTCCCAGTGCAGCAACAACGCTTTCGTGGCTGGCTGCTTAGACCAGATGAATAGTTAAAGCCTTGAAGACAACTGAATGTTTGCCATCCATTCAACCTCTTAGTTGTGGCATCGGAACTCTACCTTTTTTTCGGTACCTGTGGGTTTTGGCACTATCAGTAATTGTTGAATAGGAACTTAGTCATATTCAGTAGTATGAGATGTATTCACCAAATTTCGTTTAAGGTGATGAAGGACTGGTAGAAGAAGAATTTTCCCACAATGATATGAGAACAACTTTTGGGAAAACAAGGCTATGCGAAATTGAATGTAAACGTGAGCCCAGCTCATATCATTGTGGGAAAATTCTTCTTCTACCAGTCCTTCATCACCTTAAATGGAATTGGGTGAATACATCTCATATTACTGATTCATTGGTAGTCACGGAAACAATACTTAATTCGAAAAATAAAGTAACGTAGTCGATTTTTATAGCAAATATATGTTTTTTCATCGACAATCCCACCGAATAATATGATATGGCACTCGTGCTAATGTGGTCGAGTGATTAGTGTTTCAAGCTCCCATTCTGCACTGTCACGGTTCGACTCCCGCTGACGGTGTTGATAAGACCGATGCGAGGTCGAAACTGCAGTCCACAACTTTTGGGGAAGCCAGGCTATGTGAAATTGAATGGAAACGTTATCTCAACTCATATCATTGTGGGAAAATTCTTCTTCTACCAGTCCTTTATCACCTTAAACGAAATTGGGTGAATACCTCTCATATTACTGATTTAATGGTAGTCTCAAAACAATAATTAATGCGAAAAATTAGTCATATTAAGTTTGTGTGGACTTAGAAACTAACAGAGAGGTAGTCACTTTAGGTTAAATTAGGTGATGAAGGACCGATAGTTGAATTCTTCAACAATGAGATAGGAAGGCCTCGCAACTTTAATGAACAAAAGTGTAGTTTCAACATCCTCTTCTGCGAAATCGACTGAATAGGTGCTTATTCAATATAGTAATGAATGTTGG